TCCCCTGCCTGGGGTAGGGGGAGGGGAGAGAGGCACTCCAGCCTGCCCATGGTGGGCGGAGGGAGTGCCCCCCTTAATCGGTAAATTGGTTAAAAACTGTGTTTAACCAGTTAACCAATTAAACAGGATTTTACATCCCTAATCAGAACTCTGGTAAAAATGGAGTTAGAAAAAGTCTACTTGACTGAGACTTTTTTGAAAATGTAGGCACAGTGCACTAGACTAACTGTTTTGAACCTTGATTATTTAATATATAAAATAAATTACTTTTACAACCGAGAGAGAGAACATGTGTATGTGTGTGTAAATATGTGAAGATTTTGTTTTATGCCTGTGAATAGAGATGAACAATACCGAATTATGTGGAATGAATTGGAAACCCTTGTTCGAGCACATATAAATAACTCTGATAAACACCAGCGAGTCTTGGAGTGTCTACTGGCTTGCAGAAGCAAACCTCCTGAAGAAGAGGAGCGCAAGAAACGAGGGAGGAAAAGAGAAGAAAAAGAAGACAAGTCAGAGAAATCAGGAAAAGATTATGAACTGGAAAAACCCTGGCAGGAATCAGAGAGGTGAATTTTCTGAATGAATATATGTTTTCAAATACTGGTGGGAAATTTGGAATATGCAGCACATTCTAGCACTACACTTTTTAAAAGTTTAAGCGGTTTAACTAACATGGATTTTAGCTTGTTTATAAAGGGCACATATGGAAAGCACTTAAAGGTAAACTCTTAAGTATCAAAAGCCCAATTCTCTGATGTTAAAATAAGCTTCCCAAATCTGAAATTTAGTTTTGTGCTTTATATTAAGCAGTTTATGATCGGCTTAATAAATTGTTGTAATAAGTGCTTAATCCATTATTATAATGGCCAAAATAACAGGGCGTAAGTTGATTACTCCTGATTTAACCATTTATAGCACTTTCTTCTGTTTAGGTGTATGCTTATTTGTAACATACTACATCTGTTATTAATAGCTTTTTATAAACAAACCCTAATATGAAGTGTCACTGAAAACCATAGAGAAATAAATTTCATTTATCCTGAACTCTGTCTGATAGACTGACTGTTTAGGCATCCTTATACAAACATAGATGTTCCAGTTTCTCTGCACTTAATTTTGTGTAGATCAGCATCAAGGTTTATTGACTACGGGCCTACTTTCCATGCCTTAAACACAAAGTTGTCCTGTTAGCTGGTATGATGTTCATGATCACAAACGATCAGCTGACATTCTGTTTAGTCTTGAATTTCTTGAGTTTTCTCTTATTTGTCCTTTCAAACTCAAGAAGTTATAAAGTTGAGACTCAGGAAAAAATGGCTAATCAGCTCTAAATTCAACTTGTATGTGCTCTTCTGTGTGTACACATGGCATATAGGAAAGATAGATGCTTACCTGCAGTGTTACCAACGTGCTGATGATATTTAGATCCACCTGTGCATGTGGTCAAGGCCAACAGAATGATTCCTTTTCTACTATGAGACAAAGGTAGGGAGACAGATGGTAGCAAATTAGTTCAGGCTCAAACCCAGAGTCAGCAGTAGAGTTAGCAACAATTTCACTTGTAAATCTCTAGCACGGCCAGTTATCACAATAATATGTGGAATATAAATATTGATAATTGAAATTAGATTGAGTTTCAGGTTAATCACACTTCATTTTGGCCTGCCTCCAAGAAAATATTTAGCCAATGCCTTCTCTCATTATTTCCATCTATCTTATGACTTACAAACAAAACAATTGTTATACTAGGACTAATGTTATATAGGTAACCTTGAAGTGCATTATAAATGAGAAATGTGGTGTTGGTGCTTTCTGATGTCTCACCTTTTTTCTCCTACTCTGCTCTTTTAAGATTAAAAGGTGTATTGGATCGTGAGAGAGAAGAACTGGCAGAAGCTGAAGTTATAAAAGATTCTCCTGATTCTCCTGAACCACCCAACAAAAAGCCTCTTATTACAATAGATGAAATACCTCCAGTGGAAAAAACAAAAGGTACACCAAAATGATAGCAAAAGGGTTTAGAAAAATAGTAAATTAAGTAAAACTGGTGTGAATTGCAAGATCTCTTTTGCAGTTGTCACAACAGTTCATATTTGCTTGCATAAGGTAAAGGTACATCTCTTGAACATACTGGCTGCGTCTACACTGGCCCCTTTTCCGAAAGGGGCATGCTAATTTTCAACTTCGTAATAGGGAAATCCGTGGGGGATTTAAATATCCCCCGCGGGATTTAAATAAAGATGTCCGCCGCTTTTTTCTGGCTTGTAGAAAAGCCGGAAAAGAGCGTCTAGACTGACCCGATCCTCCGGAATAAAGCCCTATTCCGGAGGATCTCTTATTCCTACTTTGAATATAAATCCCCGCGGATTTCCCTATTACGAAGTTGAAAATTAGCATGCCCCTTTCGGAAAAGGGGCCAGTGTAGACGCAGCCACTGTGTGTAGATTTAATTGTTCCGTGCTAAAGGGAGTGGTGGCTAAGTTATTATACACAAAGCACGGGAGAGGGGGAATCAAACAGAGTCTTACTAGGAGTTGAATAATTTTGGTCCAGGTGGAGAAATTAACTCTAAAGTCAAAGGTGCAGGGAACTGATATTTATGATACAAAGCCTCTGTTTTGAGTTACATTGGATTGCTGCATAGCAAGGGCCAGTCTGTGATAGTTTTACATGCGGTTAATACTTTACTTTGTATGTGGTCCCACTGATTTCTGTGGAATTACGTCTGGAATAAGGAACTTCTCACTGTGAATAAGGATCACAGTCTAGTCCTAGACGAGGTTCTAAATTTGTTGAGTTCAAAATTCACTTCCTTGTATAGAGATGTCACTAATGTAGGTTAATTAGTCTAGAGTTAGACAGAAAGAATGAGATTTAGTAGTGGACGTCTAAGAGTTACCTACAGAAGAATTGACTCTTGGAGAAACTTGAAGAATTATATTTAGTTTAATTAGAGATATTCTCTAACTTTTGTGTGATATAATACACCTGTGGTCTGCAGATCAAGGAGTCTGCAGACTATGTCTAAAAGGGACTGCAAAAGGTGGACTATGACATAAAGTTTCAGATCCCAGAACAGGGATTCTGTTGTTCTGATCAGTCCAAAGTATTTGAATACCCCCACCTACAGGTCAAAACCTGAAAGTAGTATTGTTACAATAGAAGTTTAGTACTCTTTCTCTTGCTGCAACAAATGCCATGCTGAGCACCTACAACATTTATACAACATAATTTTTCAAACTAAGACTTCTGTGATAGGGATCTGCAGACCATTGGTTGAATTTCCAAAGGGATCTTCCCCTCTGTTTAAAATTTTTTAGGGATCCAGCTATAAAAAAGATTGAAACCCACTATATTAAATAATTGACATATTATATAAAATGGAATGTTGTGGTGGTTGGTGAAGGTGCTAGTGATATCTGCATTGTGAAGACTCTCTGGAGCAGTCTACAAAAAATAGATAGGGATGATGTAATTCACAGAGATTCCTCTCTTCCACTATGACACATGCTGCTGGAAAGCTCAGAGGGCTCTGCTTCTTCCCACTGCTGCTGATGGTTCTTTGTGGGGAGTTCTTTGGGCTAATGGGCTACCATTCTTGCTGGCTGAGAAGCTATATTTCAAAGCTGTCAGCAGTGTCTGGTGCTGAAAGGACAGTGACCATTTGTCATAGTCACTATCATTCAGCTGGAGAGGCCTGTCTCTAGGCTGGGATATCAAGGGGAGAAACTGCCCCTGTTGGTGACCCCGCTACCATATATTACAGTGCAGTAGCCACAACTTCAATTCTGCCTTTGGGACAAAGTTGGATTGATGAAGAACAATTCCTACTCTGTTTTGGGGGTGTGACTGGGATGGGGTTTGCCTCCTGAGGATCCATTTACCAGTCTGCCCAGGCACAAAGCCTGGCCCAGCTTCATGTCCATAGAGTAGTGGATTCCATTTTTGTCAAATGTATTGAAATGATAAAATAAACTATACAGAACTAACACTGAGGAAAGGTAACCTCATAACCTTATACCTTCTAATAGGGGTGTTATGTAGTGGTTAATAAGCTAATTGAGTAGTCGATGGAAGTTCCGTCGACTAATCAATTAGTCAATAAGGGAGTTAGCTCCTGGGTGTGAGATGTGCAGGGACTGAGCAATCCTGGTTTGCACCAGCTCTGGGACTGTTGTGGCTCTGCTTTTTACATGTAGTAAGAGCCACAGCAGGGGACCCGCAACGGGACTGCTGAGTTCTGGTTTGTGCCAGGTCTCCCACTGTGCTTCTGCTTCCCTGCCTCCCAGAGATGGTGCTGGGGGGAAATCGGCTTTTGAACTGGCTCCCCGCAGCAATGGCTCTTGCTTCCCCCGCCTTGCTGCATCTGAAATAGAGGCAGCAAGGTCGGGGGGAAGCAAGTAGTTGAATAGTAACTAGACTACGCTATAAGACTAGGTTTATCAGGTGGTCAACTACTTGACTAGTTACTTAGATCCCTAGTTTCTAAACCTCGCACCTGTTTGCAGCTGTTGTATTCATCTAACCGACAGTATAAGTGTTTTGGGGCACGGACCGTATATTATGTGCTATGCTAGTGCTGTATACACAATATAATTTTTTTGTAAATTTGAGAATTCATTAAGCAAATCACCTTGATTCTGTTTCAAATCTAATCCTAGGGCCAATGTCCTTGCTGTCTTTGTGGAGCAATAGAATTAATACAGCCAACTCCAGGAAACACCAAGAATTTATTGGACGTCTGAACTCTGTCAACAATAAAGCTGAGCTGTATCAACATCTTAAAGAGGAAAATGGGTTTGTATTGCTGAGTACATAATTATATTTTACAACAGCCAATGTGCTATATATAGGAATAAATTAATCATTATAGTAATCTATTAAGATTCCTTATCTCTAGCATTAATTAAAATTTAGATTTGTTTTTTAAAACCAATAAATTTAATTATCTCCATTTTCATTCATTTGCCTCTACTTCATTGCAATCCTTCCCCTAACTGAACAGGACTGAATGCCATCCTGTTGTCTTGAGGACTTGCTCCTTTCCTTCTATCCTAATGACTGTCTACACAGTATAATCCTCTTTATGCTTAAAGGGAGCCGAATGGGAAATGAGGTAAAGACTCGAACTTGGATCCTTTATGTGCCAGTCTAGCGTCCAAGACCACACCTTGTATAAAAACACATAAACCAAATATGGCAGAGAGAAAAGCATTGCATCCTATACAATGCATTAAAGGAACAAAAAATCCCCTGTCTCCCCACAAGTCCAGCTTCAATCAAATAATTGTTAGAATGGAAGTGATCAACCACTTGATCAAAAGAATAAAAATAAAGGGAAAAATATATGGCAGTCAAGTGACTAAAAAAATTAATTGTGTGATTAAGCAATGATAAAATACCATTTAATTATTGGTGGATGTTTGCTACATTTTCAAATGTATTGATTTCAGTTACAACACAAAATAAAAATTATACAGTGCTCACTTTAGATTTATTTTTTATTACACTGTGTAAAAAAACAAGAGTATTAGATGAATTGAAGAATATTAGTGCTATAGTGCAATCTCTTTGTCGTAAAAGTTGAATTTGCATATATGGTATTGTGTGCAAAATATAACTACATTCAAAAGAAAGTAAAACTTTAGAGTCTGCACGTCGACTCAGTCCCACTTCTTGTTCAACCAATCACTCAGACGAGTTCATTTACATTTATGGGAGATACTGCTGCCTGCTTCATATTTACGTCACCTAAAAGGTGAGAACAGGCACTGTTGTAGCTGGTGTCACACGCTATTTACTTATCAGCTGTGGTAAAAACTCATCTGTCCCTTCCTGCTTCACCCACCATTTCAGAGGATGAGAGTCCATGGTGATGATGGGTTCTGCTCGATAACAGTCCAAAGCAGTTCAGAGTTAGGCACTTCATTTTCATCATGAGAGTCAGATGCCATTAGAAGAATGTTGCTTGGAGAAAGGGGGTGGAGGAATTGTGTTTGGGTTTTGTAGTTTTCACATCAGTGTATGGCTCTTTTAAGAGTTCTGAAATCATGCTCCCTGTTTCATCGCTCACATATTCTGGAAAGCACTTCAGATTCTTAAACCTTGGGTCAGAGAACTGTAGCTATCTTCAGAAATCTGACACTGGTACCTTTGTTTTGTCTGCAGTGAAAATGCTCTTAAATTGATTAACATGTGCTGGGTTGTCATCTGAGATTGCAATAACAAAAATGTATGGCAGAATGGTAGTAAAACAGAGCAGGAGACTTCTGCAGTTTTCCTCCAAAGAGTTCAGTTGAATTTAATTAACGCATTATTTTTAAATGAGCATTATCAACGTGTCCTCTGGAATGGTGGCCAAAGCATGAAGGGGCATCCAAATGTTTAGCATCTTTGGCACAAAAATAACTTGCAATGCCTGCTACAACAGTGCCATGCGAACACCTGTTCTCACTTTCAGATGGTATTGTAAATAAAAGTGGGTAGCATTATCTACTGCAAATGTAAACAAACTTGTTTGTCTTAGCGATTGACTGAACCAAGCAGTATGACTTATAGACGCTAAGATTTACATGTTTTTTGTTTTTGAATGTGTAAATTGCTTTTTTACGACAGATTACTTGACAGTACTTATGAGGTGAACTGAAAAATACTAGTTCTTTGGTTTATCTTTTATTTATCAAACTCTGGTTACTTTTTGTATCAAACTATAATTATCGTTTGCAAATTTTTTTTAGTAAATATCTTGGGTAAACTATGATTATTCAACAACCTTAGAAAAAAAGTTAAATACTATTAAGGATTTGACAGAAATAGATACAGCTGTAGAGAAGAGGACCATCCACAGTCAGACACGAGTCAGTGGTTTTGTCTTGTCTTTAACGACTGCTGCAGTCAATGTCAGTCTTAACTGTGATTTTATATGTGCAAATTACTGCTCATTTATCTTAGCTGTAAATGGAAAGTAGCTTGAAAACAAACTTGCCAATGGCTTAATGATTACTGCATAAATAAATCTCTGGAAAGATAGTATAGGGATTCTATACAAGTACAAAGAAATTTTTATATAAAATCAGATACTTGCCTTTTATTTTTAATAATGTGAGTGCATTACAAATAAACTATATGTGCTATAACTGACCAGTTCTCTTGTCTTATTTTTCTATTTCAGAATGGAAACAACAGAAAATGGAAAAGCCAGCCGACAATAATTTTTTTTTTTTTAAAGAACGAAGCTTAGCCCTGTTTCATAAATATTTTATGCTGGATTTGATATCAGCACATTTCAATAAGATTGTATAGGTCTGTTGTTTTGGTTTTACATTTTTCTGATTTTATCCTTTTTCTATTAAATGTTAAATTTGCATATTACATGCAGTGAATTGTGTGCAAATGGGATCTGACCTGATGTATTGTATCATATTTTAGGATGAAAGGATGTTTCTCTTACTACACACACAAGAAAACCTGTTAAATGATGGAATCTGTTTTTTAAGTCTGTTTAATATTAAAAAGCACAATATTCAAGCATTTTTTAAAAACTTGAGCCTTTTTCTGTTGTATTGATACATTTTAGCTCTAGATGCAACTTTTCAAGAGGTCATGGTTTAGGAGAAGAGAAATATACAAATATCTGTTGAATTCAGACTCTTAATCTGGAATTCCTTTGTTCAGAGCATGTTGTTCCAGAACAACAGTTGGGAGGTGAGGTAAAGAATGGTTTAAAACCTTCACAAAAGTATAAATGATTGGGGTGAGAGCATGAACTTTTTTTAAGAGATTAATTATTAATTCAATCAAGAGAAACACCCAGTTTGAAAACAAAGTTTTTCTAGTTACTATTTGTGCCAGAACTAACAAAACAAAGATCCTCACCTTTAGCTGGTAATGGGCTAGTACAGAGAACAGGGCCTGAACCCATTAATTACTTTCCATGCAGCAGAGTTAATCCATCTTCTGCTGGATTGACTTCCTTTTGCTTGATGGCAGCTGGAAGAAAAAACTGACTTGGATATTCTACAGTGCAAGATGTTGTCCTGTGCTCTTACATTAGGAAGAAGGGTAGCTGGTGCATAGGCTTTTGTTCTGAAAAAGTTAGTGTGTCACATAGCTAAGTTTCTTTAACTGAGCAAAGTATGAAGGCCATAAATGATGATGATGGCTGGATCAGAACACAAATATCATGTGAGTACTCCTTACTTACATTTGTAACTGCTGTCCACTTAGTGGCATAGAACATAGAAGCACAATATTGAGCTTCAAAGTGATTGTTATGTAATGTAATTACTGAGTAAATACATAGTTCTTTCCTGATATATGATGATTACTTTGTCGCCTGGTGTAATTATTAACAGATCCTATAGGTTACTTAAATAAAGAGTACTTGCATGATATTTTGTCTGTCATATTTTATATTTATGTGGAGATTGCTAAGGTTCTCAAAGCTTGGTGCCACACCAATGGAATCCAGTGACCTCTGGGAGAAGAAAACAATCATTGCGCAGCACTTCATAACAGCTGGAAGAGGGAAAATGTTGACCAAAGACTCTGGGGAAAAATCTTACATTTATAAATGAGGCGTACAGATACTGAAAGTTCTCAAAGCAGACAGGACTGTTTTTTTTTTTTTTTTTTTTTTTTTTAAAATAAGGTTTGATCCTAAAGATTTCTGTAAAGCAGAGTTTCCCAACCTATGGGTCAGGACCCAAATATGGATCACCATTACATTTCAAGAGTCACCAGGTGTCTCCACAGGTGACTCTTAAGGAGCCATTTACACGTTTTTTGAATGGCCCAAGATCTCCCAAGTCTTCTTGATTCGTCAAAATGGGTTCTCATCTGGAAAAGGTTGGGAACCGCTGTTGTAAAGACTCGCTTCTTTTGAGAGTACTACAGAATCTTTAATGGCCACTGATACTCAAGTCCTTTGTTTCCACCTTTTATATGAAACACAGTATGTCCTGTAACACAGTATCTCCTAGCACCATGTTGAGGCAGTGGTTCAGTGCTGATGCAGAAACAAAAGTGCTGCCTAGAGCCTTGCAGCCTGACAGGACCAAATTACAAATATCAAGTTCAGATCCAAAGACAACCTGACTCTGTCACAATTGGGTTGAGTTGTCTGATCATCTCCCACTGGGCTGCTGCTACCTCACTCCTCTCTGTGTTGTGATGAGTGAGTGTGCCAGCAAGTCACAGCACCTCTCACTCCACAGTGCACACACAAAAGTGAGGCAGCCAGCAGGAGCAAGGCACATAGGCCCCTGTGCCACCAAACCCTTGGCAGGGGACCATCGGAGACAGAGTGCAGCCTTGGGATGTAGGGAGCAGGAAGCTTCCACCATGCCAAGTCCCAAGGATGAAGTTACAGCATTAACTTAAAAGTTTGGGAGCTATGTCAGTCACATCTTAAAGTGATTTCACATGAATTTGGGTTGGCTGTGGGCTAGTTGAGTTCAAGATTAAAATAGGGCCAAAGCAGACCTGATGCCATCCTCAGTTCTTGCAGCACCTAAAATTTTATGGCAGCTTCTCATCTTAAAACTTATTCAGCCTCAGACAGCTACCTGATGTGAACTTCCTGCTGTCTATACTGAAGACTTGGAATCTGGATGTTAAGTGTTTAAATTAAGGCTGTAAAATCCCATTTAATCGGTTAACCAGCAAAATGTAATGTTTAACCAATTAAAGGGGAGGTGAACAGCCCTCCAATCCAGCTATAGTAGGCCAGCGGGGGAACCCCCCCCCCTGCCTGTGGCACACCTGGCTGGACCTTTGTGGTCCCGTGGGGCTGGAGAAGCCCCCTGCCCACAGCGGACAGGGAGATGCTTCAGCCCCCATGGATTAACTGGAACCAGTAAGCATTACCCATTACAGGTGATGCTTACCTGTTAATCATTCAGATCCCTACTTCAATGTGAACATTAAGCATTAGTTACTTCTGTTTTGTAACAGAAACACCAAGCAGAAGTGCTTATCCTTTGTATCTGGGCATTCTCTATCTCCACTCCTGATGTTCTATAAATATTAGACTGCAAACCTAAAATATTCACGTGAATATTTAATCATAAGAAGAGAAATCCTGCATGTTCCATTAAAAACATAAACAACCTAAATAGCTACACATGATTCAGTAAAAATACTTTGCTCTTCTAGAAGACCTTCCTCAAAGTCTTTTACAAACCAATGAGCCCTGATTCTCTAAGGCACTTGAGCATATGTGTATTATTAATGATGTAAGCAATCTTTTTGAAGTAAATAAGGTGTTTGATACACTTCAAAGTGAGGCATATGCTTACATTTACTCCTGAGTTGGGGCCATGATGATTTCATTTTAAGTTTCACAACAATCCTGTGAAGTGAGCTTGTTAAATGTATTGTATGTTATATATTAATTATCTTTCTTCTTGCCTTCTGATGCATACTCAACCCCACCCTTCCCCTGCAATAGCATCTTTAAAGACTCATGGCCCCTCTCTGGAGGGATTTAATAAACTTGTATAAGGTGGACTTTTAGGGTCAAGATAGTCAAACAAGTGGACACTAAAACAGCTGGATCTTTTCGTAGAGCTGAACAAACAGCTAAGACAGCATTTTGGGCTTATCAGAAATTGAAAGTTTGGGTGACTTTCTGTCCAACCTTACCACATTTAACATGTTTTAATCTTTCAACGATGGCGCATTAATTTAAAAAAATACTAGTTTTATGCACAATGCTATATTTGATTGCTGGCAGCATGATTGAAGCTGTGCAAAAATAGATGCATCTATTGTAGTAGCACCCACAGGCCCCCATCAGGATTTTGTGCCAGATGCAGTACAAATGTGCAGGTGCATAGTCCTGGCTCTGAAGATCTTACAATCTAATTCGAAACAAGATGTGAGAGTACTGAATATGAGACAGATCAGGCATGAGGGGTAATAAGTTCCTGTGGCTGAGTAGGCTTGTTATGGACTTGACCCTGCTCCACTGAAGTCAATGGCAAAATTCCCATTCACTACAGTGGTGCAAGTTCAGGTACAGGTTGCTCAAAATCAAATATTTCCAAATCTTGTTCAGCCTACCAAACAAGAGGACCAGATCCTCAGCTGGTGCACTCTGGCATACCTCTCTTAATTTCAGTGGAACTATTCTTATTTACATCAACTGGAAACCTGGTAACCAATTGGTTGGCTTCTTGTAGGTATGTCAGCAATGGTCCTGAGGAAGAAGCTTGTGGATAGATGCAACACTATTCTACTGAACTAGTGCCCTCAGTTCATTCAGCAAATCATCCTTGATTCTAAACCAGGCTATTGCAGCCACGTTCACAATGATTCAAACTGCCATTGTGAAAAAAACACCGGTACGTATAGGGTGATACTGTCAACAATTTCAATGTTTTTTGTCCACAGTAGCGCTGTTCTAATAGTCTTCAATATAAATTAATGATACATTATTGTTTGTCTTTGGAAGTTATGTCTGGAAGTGCATTTTCCAAGAGCTTTCCACAATATATAAGCCGGTGGAAAAAGAAGGGACATTTATATGTACAGGTTGATCCTCTCTAGTCCAGCACCCTGGGGACCTGACTGGTGCTGAACCAGAGAATTTTCTAAACCACAATAAGTCAATATTGTGTAACAATATTACCAATGCTTTACGGGGCTCAATCAGGGATAAACTAGTAGCTGAGAACACTGAGAGTCTGGACTGGTGGCTGTTAAGCAAACTTTATGGGACCATAGGAAACTTGGTCACACCCAGGATAACTAAACTCATGCTGCACCCCAGATGTTGCTGGGGGGGGGGGTGGGTGGGACCAAGTCAGTCTGGGTAAATTCCATTAGCTGAAAAGCCGGTTTTGTTTATCCATGTTTTATAGCTCTATCAAGATAGTTCTTTTCATTCCATTTTTGTGTGTGTGTGTGTGTATGTTCTAAGTGCAAAATATCATTACTTTTATAAGAGTGCAGCATCAGCAGAGAACAAATAGCTATCCTACAAGGATTTACTTTGTAGCTGTTGGTATATTTAAAGGATAGACCCATCTTTTTCAACATTATAACACCCGTGGGTTGCCTTTATTTCTTTAACGTGATGCAACATTGCAGCAGAGTGCATTTCATGGATGCATCTTTCCTATAATGCTCTTTCATGTGATCCTGTGGAATTGCAAAAAGCATAAAATGGAAGGAGATGCTAATTTGAAGGAGAATTTCTACAAATCTACAGAAGTATGTGAATTAATGAACAATTTAGATATCTTATATGTTAGGTTACAAAACTGGTGTGCTTCCAGTTTGTTGCAAATACACCTTACATCGACATTCTTTCTATTATGGCATCTTTGAATATTCTGTGGCACTGGAACCTCCAGTTTCCTGAGCTGGTATGGTCTACAGTCAAGAAAGTAAGTCTGTGCAGTTTTTCATTTACATGTTTGCCCTGTGATCTTGCTTTAAAAACACTGCTTTGTTTTTGTAGTTAGGCAGTCTGCATTCCTCTAGATCAGTGGTTCCCAACGCGGTGCCCATGGGCACCATGGCGCCCGCCAGGGCATTTGTGTGCGCCCGCCGACAACCTGAGCCGGCCCTGCCCCCGGCGCGCGGCGCACTGGAGGCCCAGGTGCACGATGTGCACCGGCGCCTGGTGCACGGGCGGCCCCAGCCCCGGGGCACATGCGGGCGTGCAGCGCCGGTGCCGGCCCCAGGCGCGCAGCTCGGGCGGCAGCGCCGGCCCCAGCCCTGGGACACATGCTGGCGCCGGGTGTAAGGGCATCCCCGCCCCTGGCGTGCCCCAGTACGCGTGGCTTCGCCCCCGGGCGCCCAGGAGCCTCTAAAGCTTGGGGACCACTGCTCTAGATGATGAAATGGAGTGAGAGTGTGAGTGTGTTTAATAAGTTTAAATATCCAGAGTCTACAGGAGTGACTCTTACTCATACCCAAGTCTGAGATGAGTAACTGACAGGTGACATTTTCAAAACCAGCTAAGTCCCATTTTCAAAAATAACTTAAATATCCAGGGGCTTCATCCTACTGACTCATTGAGACTTAGGTCTGGATTTTCAAAGGTATTTAGGTTCCTAAATTCCAGGATCTGGGCCAAAGTCACTTAGGTGATTTGGAAAACGTACCAAGAGGGAATAGAAGTGCTATTTTGACCTGAAGAGGTCATTAAAATTAAGACATATAACCACTGTCTAAGTTGTATTAGTACTTGCCTCTTTTCAATTCATCTATATCAATCCGTTGCTATAAAACAAACCCCTAACCTTTTTGGTTTGTAACTTAAATCGGGGTTTTTTTGGCATCTTGCACCAGTTGCATCTGACGAAGTGGGTCTTTGCCCACGAAAGCTTATGCTCCTACACTTCAGTTAGTCTATAAGGTGCCACAGGACTCCTCGTCGCTTTTGCAGATTCAGACTAACACGGCTACCCCTCTGATACTTGCACCAATTGTTAATTCCAAAATTCTGTATTGTGACACCACCTTATAATTTGCAGGGTTTTAATACCTTTTTTCAAATTTAAAACAGAATACAACATTAAGAATCGTATTGTTCTGTGCATTTTCTTCCTAATAGACAAATATACCTCTTTTGAGACCGATTCTTAGTGTAATCTTGATTTAGGGTAATCTCTTCTGTGAATATTGCCTTGGTCACTTTGGCTAGTAATATCTGCTTCATAAAGAGGTGGGAGTTGATATCTGGGAGGCTGGAAAGGTGGTAAAGACTGGGGCAGTCTTACACTGGGCCTGCAAGTATGCTGTTGGGAAGAAGGTAGCACGGGTATCCATAACTGTGGTGACGAGGGTGAAACTTCCCGTTGAAGAACAGGTGCTTTGCGGGGTTTCAGCATGCCCATTTCCAGGTCACCATAGCCTGGTGGTCTGCCATGAAAAGTCATGGACTGTGATTCAAGAATCTTGTGATATTTATAGCAACGGTGGGCAACAATTATCAGAGTCATCACAATGGTTGCACATAAGCTAATTAGCAAGGCATTTTTAATCCGGCAATTGTTCTCTTCATTATATGTAGGGAAGGTACTGTTCAGAATCAAGGATCCATTAAATGGCTCTGGAGTGGGCAAGCAGATTCCTTCATGTGAAACATTCTCAACAATGTAAATTTTGTATTCTGGCAACATTGCCTCAGCAAAGTGTGGGCTGACATTCCCATCAGGTACTCTAAGTTTTTTCAGCACTTCCTGGATTTTGTCTCTTGAGCACAGACTCTGGGATCTGTTGGTGCTTGTACACAGAGACCTGTTGTACCACGAAATTACAGTGGACCCAGGTCTGAGGGCAGTCAGTGTGATGCTCTTAAGACTGCTAGATTTTAAATATTTAGAAAGCTTGTCAAGGAATAAACCAACCTT